GCTTCCTATCACTTATCGAAATTACTCTCTCTTATCGCGGAAATTATTCGTACCACTCGTGTTGCAACCTCTGCAATCGATAAACCTCTGCGGCTATATGAAGTCACCTGCTTCAACATGCGCTTTCGCGCCTTAATTATGTTTATATGAAGGAGATTACATTATCGCGATCCCGCGAGGTGTTATTATACGAGTCCACGCGGGGGAGATAATATCCCGATAAGGAAGCTTTTCAGAAGCTACGATATTAATGCATAAAATATCGCAATTTGAAAGCCTTTAAATGCAAAGTGTCAAAAGATTTAAATTGAGAATGTTTTAGAATGGTAGCTTTATTAGTATAATTTTCTATAATAATAAAGTAAAAATTTAAGCGATTCTTATTAAAAAGTGCTCATCGTGCCAGTATTTGTTAATAAAGTTTTTGATGAAGAGCGTTTTGTTCCACGAAGTTTGGCACAGCTTTCTGCGACATTCCACTATTAACGAATTACTCGAATGGCGGATATAAATGAGACACGTTCACACGATGCTGTCAAATCGTCCGGAAATTCTCGTTCCACGTCTTATCGCTCGATTTCCACGTTTGTTGGCGTGCTCGAGTTTCTCTGATTTTTTGTAACTTTTTATTTTGCTAATGGATTGCGCTCTCGAGAATGTTCTCGCAAAGATCGTGCTATTTCTCCCAACTATCGAGATCACATCCAATTTTGAAGCTTATTGATATTTATGATCGTCAGGTAACCTCCTTAAATCAGTGTTAAAATTAAATAATTTTATCATGATAATTGCTTTTGACATTTTTTTCTATCACTATTTATATTTGCAGTCGTTTATACGAGCATACGTTTTGGATAACTTTTACGTATGTATCTTGATGTATATTTTGTTCTACATAGCACTATGGTATGCTAATAACGTAAGTAGTCCGCATAATAAATTATGATTACAAAGGCAAGAAATAAGATACATAGTTAATATACATTCTTCTCAAATATCTTGTTTTCAAGATATCTTACTTTTCCATACTTTTTACTCACCCTATAAATATTAATTAATTATACGTATTTAAAATAAATTTAAAAACTATTGTGTGTGTAAGTAACTCGAAGTTAATATATACATATATTTTGTATAAAAGAAATAATGTTCTGATTCTTTTTAAACTTCTAATTAATTTTGATATATTTTTTATATAATTGTTTTCAAGATAATAAAGCGAATTGAAAGATCAAATCGGGAGATGTCAACAACGGTTGCAGAGAACAAGACGGTCAGTTCTATTTTATTTATAAAATTTGATTACTCATTCAAGATCGATTTTCCTTCTACATAGTTATAATTAATGTCATATTTATGCATCCTTTTTATCAAGAATTCTTTTTAGAAATTAGACAGATTGGTTTTGTTAAAAAACAAGAAGGCGGAATTCGAGGACGCAATCGTAAAAACGGTTAGCACTAATTCAATGTTTTTTTATTTTTTATTTTTGTGATCATATCTATATGTAATTAAATGCATTTACTTTATAGACAGATGAGCAAAAAGAGACTACGAAACACTTAGAAGACGAAGTAAGTTTAAAAATGAATCGTGTATGCATGAAAAAAATTTTTAATGTTTAATCATAACTATCGAATTATTATTCAGATGAACAGGATTAGCACAGAATTAATTACAACATCCAATAAAATTACTGGATTGGAAAAAGTTGTTGAAAAAGTAATGGTCGTCTTTCGATGTCTAATCTGCTGTTAATCGTTTTTACCAGCTTCAGTAATTGTTATTAAATCGTAGATGGTTTTTAGTACAAATACCCGGACAAATTACTTAGTTCAGCCAACGCTATCGAAGGTGAATGTCCAAAAGAATTCAAAGGAGCCACGAGTCCATTTGAGAAGTTCAAGGTAAATTAAATTATTAGTTGTCATGAACATATTTTAGGACATTAAAGAATAATAAAAAAGAACACAATATTAAGTGGAAATATTAATAAAAGAAATTAATAATTGTGATTGCTAAAAAATATTACGAATATTTAATATTTGTTATTTTTACTATTTGTTAATATTAATTTAAGATTCTCGAACCGTCATTTCCACCATCTGTACCACCGGAACCTCCGCCTCGGAAGTATGGGATCTTTGTCAGTAGACCGCCTGGGCGGAGAGCGTCGTCTGCAACTGCACCTGCGACTCCGCCGTCAAAAATCGGATTCAAATAACAGCGCCTCTGCAGAAGCTTCTTCCGAATCTGTTAATCAATATCGTAAGACGTTAATTACACTATAATAATGTTCATAATCTTCAGATATTTATGAATAAACTATTTGTGTGATTATTGTCTTGCCTATAAAAAATTATGAAAATAGAGAAGTGTGCGAAAAAAACGTATATATTTATGTTAATTTATGAAATTCGGAATGTGTAGACCTAGAACTCAAGTATCTGCAATTACAATTTTTAATACATTGTGTTTTCCGCATGAGAACTGAATACTAGTGTTATCATCTGTTTCTTTTATATACATCGTTTCATATACAAGATTTTAGATTTTCACATCTCATTCTTCTAGCTTAAATTTTTTTTAATTGCATTATAAAGTAAAATTTCTGCAGATTTTCGAAATATATTTTTAAATCGACTTAATTTCACAATTTCTATTTTATAGCTACCAATAAATTTCTTTCGCGATACAATTACCATGATGGTGATCGAAAAAGACATCCTAAATGGCTATGCACAAAGACGCACTCGAGACGCTCTTCGTGTTGCAACATGCGTAAGGTTCATAAGGATTCTTTAAAAAATGTTACACCTTTTACTAAATCACTATTAGGATTGGCTACTATCTTCCTCCGTGGACATCCGTAAAAATAGAATATTTGAATACATCAGTGACTCAAAGACAAATTCCGTAATTTTACTTGACATTTTTATTTTTGCTTTTAAACCGTCATTAATGACACTATACTATAAATTATGTAATTTTAATACTTTAATATTTATTCTTATAATATTGTACATTATTATGACTATAAAATTATAAATAAAATTGTAATAATCACTTAATAAATATGTAATCTTATTATGCGTATTTTAATTTCCTTTAGTAGATTGTCTATGCCACATAATTACAAAATTTGGAAAATTTCCGAGATTTAAAAGTATTTAGATAATAAAAACCGAAAAGCTATAGAATAGTCCTTATAAATTATCTTGTCTGTTTGCTAAACTACTGTCAAGCTTATCAGATCGTACGCTTTCATTTAAGGACGAAAGTATTTAATTAGATCTATGCATGTTAAAATCAACGTGCAATTGGAAAGTACTCTTGCTACAATACATACAATCTTTTGATGTAACAATCCGCTTCACCTATTAATTATCCACTTATGTCATCATCTTTCTGCTATGGATACTATCGTTCTATTTATTCTTTCTATTCCCAAGTATTTTCACACGGTATCATTTTCGAAATGTAGCGCGGATATCGCGAGACCATTATGTTTTGTCAAGATTACGGTGAAAGGAAAATAATTATTTTCCACTTTTAAAATTAATAAAAAATTAATTTTCGTATCAATTAAAAGCTACTGTTTCTGAATGTGCATTTTATATGTATTTTTTCATTTTAGATTTATTTTTCACTCTAAAATAGTAGTAATAAAATTTTTATTTAATCTGTAACTAATTTTTATTCGTTTCTTCGGAAACAGTCTTCTTTCAGAGTCACACGACACAAGATACTCCTTTTTCTCGAAATTTATGTTTAAATATATTACGAGATGATACTTCCTACGGAATACAATTGCCAGTACACTAAAAACAGCGCATTTTCTCATGCGGTCCGCCTTGTTCGAGCCACAGAACTGCGAGCGATCGAAATGCATGGACTTGCGAGCGATCGGCCAACTTTCACTGACGACTCGTTAGGTTCGCCGCCGTGGTTTCGAGTCATTCACAGTTATTCCGCGACTTCGACGGTTCGCAGTAGCGCTGTCCGTATTTCTCTCCTCGTTCGAGACGGCAGCTGTCACTTCAAAGTGCACGTTTGGTGATATATCGGTAGCAACACGTAGTGACACGTTTGCAAATTCTATGTTTCATTCTACTATTTTCGGAATGTTATTGTAAGCTTGTTTGGGTCTCGCACAAACGTCTCCTGGTGACACAGTGATATTCGACGTCCAGCATTTCATCTGGATATTTTTCACGGTGAACCCTTCGATTGTGCGTAATGGAGAGACAGAGAAATTTGTTGCAGCCACGCAACATATACAATCGCAGAACCAGCACGCGATACTGAGTTACGATCGGTGAATTTCGATTTACGCGTGATTTGATTTAGCGAGCGAGCTGGAACACGCGCGTGATTTTCGACGTCGACGTTTGGGGATTGATCGTTCGCTCCTCGGTTAATTGCTTTCCGAAATTTCGCACACGTCGGCGTGCGATTTAACGGGCAAATCGCATCGTTCGCGTTCGCAAGGTATGGGAATACCTCGTTGTGCGCGCGAATTATAATCGACAACGTTATTCGCAAATGCGAGCCACTTCGGAAGTGAGTTCCAGCGCCACTCCCGCTCCACGACAGTGTTACAGTTCACTGAGAGAGGTCTCGCGTCGTTTGCACCGTATTTCTCAGGATAAGGGAATAGAAGGAGAATTCCCGTTACGATTTCGCCGGTCGTTTCCGAGACGCTTCCGTGCGCTAGAAGTGTATTCGACGATACAAAGGAGTTGTCGACGTCGCGCTCGAAGCGGTCGCGGCTCTTGAGAACGAGCTTTGTCGCTTTGGATGAAAGTAAGACGGACATCGTAAGAGGATTTAACTTTATTGCTGCAGTGAGTCTTGAAGAAAGTGGAAGTTGTCGGAAAGTGAGAGTCTTTTCTTTTCTTTCGAGAGGGAGAGAGAGAGAGAGAGAGCTGTGACCGGTTCACAGCCGTCTGGTCGATTGCATCGATCGCGGGTCCAGGGACAGGTATTTGTTTGGACGCTCTCGCGTATAAGAAATTGCATACCTTCGAAAATTCAGGTTAAGGCAAACTTACCGCTCCCGGAGCCACGGAGCGCGATCGATTGCACATTTACGTAATAATACGTGATCGTCGAAAGTGGCAGAGTCATCGCCACGAATCGACGTTTACTGCACATTTACATCATTAGATACATAATTTCACAGTTGCGATGGATATCATGTTCTCTGATAATACATGCAACGAATAAGGAATTGGAATAATCTGGAATAATCAAATGGATTTCGATATAATCATGTCGCTTTCATTTTATACGTTATTACGCACACACACAAAAGCACACACACACACATATATATGTGTATACAAACGTAGGAAAGAAAACAAAAATAGATTTTTCTATTCGTGCATTTACGTATGCAAATTTAATTAGTCTTTAATTAATCAACTGTGCTCGATATTTGATACTTCTTTCAGATGTAATTCTCTACCTCAGTGGATTCGTACATTATTACATCAGACTTTGTGTCTGATAAGACTGCCAGAGGATTGACAATAAATTAGAATCATCTCTAGTCTGCCGTAACGTTCGCCTTATTGAAAAAAATCGACATGGATGCCAGTACGTTGCGGTTAGTAATATTTTTGGGCATGTTTCTGGTTTTCGCCGGCGATTATAGCGCATTGATCGCTTCAATTTTCGGTAACGCAACGGAGAGGAACATAACTGATGCTATGAGAGAACCCGAGGCTCAGCTCAAAGGGCCTCCCCATGATAAGATACCTGTTGTCGCGAAAAAAGACATCGATAGGAATAACGGTAAGAATGAGGCTATCGTGTAAATGATACACGATGTAACATGATACTTTTCCACAAATGCGTTACGCGAAACACAAAATTTAATATAATATAATCTTTTCTTTCTACAACGTAAAACATATTTACTTTGGCAGCAACACGATGATATCCCATCTCTCTCTCCAAGCTGTAATTTTATACTTTGTGTAAGATATCCTTGCGTACAAACTGCTTAGCATTTTCCCTTTACAATTGCTATTGCATAAAAATACATGCGAAATCTACACGCACGTATATGTCGTCATACCATTATTCATCGAGTTGCGCTTGTTAGTTCGCGTGGAGCTAATTGTTACTCTGCGAATTGACTAATTAGTCGCGCACTCGTCTGTTTTAATTATTTGACAACGTTATCGAAATCCCCTCAATTAAGAATGTATGTATGTCTCATTTGTCTTGCAGCTTATCGAAATCTTGCTACGAGCATAACCAGTTCTCGGTCGAGAAAATGCTGTTGGAAAGTAGTCTACGAGAAAATGAGTTTCAATCCGATTATAGAGTGAATGCGTGTAGTATGTTTTTAAATATTTATAGATTAACGGTATAATTAGCGAGCGTCATGTACGATAATATTTAATTATAAAAATTTAATTGTAACACATTTATGATATATCAATGATTTTATGTATTTATATTTTCTGTATCGCTTAATTATTTCTAAATATTTTCTAACAACAAATTAATATTATTTTTTAATATCAGAAAAAATATAGCGGAAATTATAATGATATACTATCAATCTTGATATAGACTTCGACGAATAAATCCAAGGAAAGTGATATACTTATAAAATAGAAAAAAAAATAGAATAGCTAACGTTACTAATGTATTTGTATACTCTAATTAAGTTTCTAAAGTTCTGGAACATAACGAGAATACTTTTGTTTCTGAAAGTAAAAGTGTCCTTGTCACGTCCCAGATCTTTAGAAATTTTCGACCCGTGTTCTTGACTTTTAACTTGTCACTTACTTATAGTGAGATTAAACAAAGCCGGTCATTTATTCAAATATGCGTTGTCATTCGGAATAATATTTGTGATCCATTAATCGTCCCATCATTCAGAATGATATTGCATGTGCCTCGGCATAATTGACAATATGATTCCGATTTTTGTGCAGTTGCCCTACGCCGTGCAAAGATGATGACAACGATCAAAACTGCCTGCTTGCCGAAGCTAATATGCGAACTCACCAAGTCTGTTCACCAAGACCAACTAAGTGAAATGGAGCGATCTCTTTTAAATCTTATAAGGTATGCAACTACTTTTACGTACATCTAGATCTATTTCTTTATTTCTATTTGTATTACGGGAAGAGAAAGTGGCTTATTAGATTAATAAATAACGAACTTGTCATTAAATAGCAAAGATTTATTTTTGATTAAAGTCTGATTTTTATCAAAATTAATTAGGGAAGAATCTGATAGTGATAGTTGGTATGCTGCTCAATTTATTTGATACAACAAAGTGAGAATCTACTTTCATTGAGGCTCTTGCACTCAATGTTCTTACTTTCACAACTTTCGATCGGCATTGCAACTAAACGACTCAGGGTCCGTCGACCCTGAAATGCAGGCGCTATCGTAAAAAATACGAAAAAAAAAAAAAAACATATTTCTCTCTGGTCACGCAAATAATGACACGAGGAAAATTGCTAAGAACGTAATTTTACGCGAATACGAATGGCTGCGTTTCTTATTCAAAAGCGCAAACCGATGACTGTCCATCAATGATGAATGGATGTGTCGAGAAATTTTGCAATTTTCAGCGGAGCTAAAAGCTAATAATAATCACGTGTGCATCACAATTATATACAGAACGTTTTGGAAAACGACGACGTAGGCGACTGTAGGAAATGTCCAACGAGAAACGCTTGCTCGCCCGGGAAAATTGGATACCGGGACAATGGCGCGCGGCGTGCACACTCTGCGTATTTTGCAATTTTCATTTACGATCGGATGTAAAATGCAGCTAGGTCCCACGTATATACGTATCCACTGTGTTATGCGGATAATGCAAAGAATTATACCGTGAATTCGTGCTGTTTTACGTTCTGATTAAAAGCAACGTTACGTTAAAACGGACTCTGCTGGAAAATCGGGAAATGCGGCATCTATCCGCTTTTAAATCCCCATATTTGCACAGTGTGGAATGTATCATTGCGGTGGACTCGATGCACAGACATTTCCAACATGAATGTATTAATATACATTCGTGAGTGTTGATCCTCACCACGCGAACACGTATTCGTTAGAACGTTGGTATATCAAAAACGGAGAGAAGGAGGCATTCTTTCCAAATTAGCGCCTTGATAATCTAGCCTTTAACATAACTAATCGGTTATTTTGAAAATCACAACGCGCGTTCTAAATATATAATTTTCGTAACCAAATTTCGTAACGAAATAGTGTCTGCAAAATGTATTATTTAATATTTCTTTAACGATTACATATTGATTTCAATTTGTCTTTAAGAATTATAGTATCCTAATCCGTGGATATTATCGCGAATTAATGATTGTGTCGCATGTAGTTTGGAAAGTGGCCAACTGATGAAAGCTACCGCGAAAGTTAGCCGTCTCTTATGTAAGTATCATCCGAAAACGCGCACGTTTGCCGCACCTCGTCGTAACCTCGACGAATACTTTCCTTTTCATTATCCAATCTGTATACTTTCTCCGCGACACGGCATACATAGCATTTTGCATCTGCCATTCGGCCTTCCCGGAACTCTGGCTTACTTCTGTAAACATTTCATCGGCAAATGGCGCAAGCTGATAGAAAGCAATGAGTTACTTACAATTTCGGTAATTAATTCATAGCTTCTGATTAAAAGAACGCTCGATCATGTCATGCTCGCCGTAAGTTATATACAGAATTATTTTCATTTTCAAAAAAAATATAAATTTCTCGTATTATTCATGAATGAAGTACAAATCCTATGTACATATTTTACTTAACATATTTTTTACACGCAATAAGAACAAATTAATATGTAATGGTTTGTCTTCCTACAAGATAGTACTTTTTATTTAATATCTTAGCTTTTCATTTCTTATGTTAATAACTAGAAATTAGAACATTTATGTATTTTATTATCTCTTTTCTCTAACAATATTTGTTCTAAAATTATATTATATTTAAAAATCTATTATAGAAATGATAATTCGCGAATAATAAACGAGTAAAGTAATTATCGTAATATGATTAAATAACAAAAATTAAAGGAACGTTTATACAATATATCGTAAATCGAATTTCAAGGATATTAAAACGAGCTCAAATAAAAGTCTCATATTTATTACGGTCGTTCATTTCCACGTGTTAAACGAAAACGACGTCGACGAACAGTAAAATGAATCGACGCAGAAAAGCGAGTTCCATTAGAAAGTATAATGAACCAAAACGACAGCATTGTCCCGACGTATAGTGCATTTTTGTTTTCGTTTAAAAAAACAATATTTCTTTACATTACATTGCACATTCATTAAAAGTGTATTTGTGATAAGGTAAAAATTCCGTAGTTTTTATAATATATTAAATTGAAGGCAGAAGTGTTTATAAAATAGAGGCCACATGGAAGGGACGCGACTGTGGAAAATACTGTATTAAAACTTCCCGAAAAGTTTTCAAATATAACTTCAAGTACAATTACAAGTCGTAGATAGAGTAAATACAGGCGCGCGTTATCTTTCGCACGTCTTCATTGTCTTTTCTGCGTGAAAGTGGACATCCTCGAGCGAAAGAAGATCGCCCTAGGAAGGATTCTTGCGCCGCAGTTAATGTCCCGGAAGGATCCAAGCTTTATATTTACTTTTATGCCTGCGTAAACGCCAGTCCATTCTGACGCATCCCGATTTTTATCGGCGTGGATCGCTTCGGGTTAAACCGATCAAGATGGAGAGGCTAAAAAGCCGTTTTGCGTTTATTCGTTATATCCTGGCGCCCCTTCGAAGCTGGGAATCGTAAAGAGGGGAAGAGCTTTCTTTCTCTTTCCCGATGGAGGAAGACGTCTTCTGCGGGAGCCATGCGTGACGAAACTGCCGCGCTTTTGCTCTTCCGACAGGTCGAACGATTTCTCGAAGAATTCAGCGCGGTATCCGTTCGCTTTTGACGAGATCCGGATGGTTTTTGAGGCAAAAATCGTCGGCAATCGACGTCGATTTTAGTTCTCACGGAAATCCGAGGGAATAGATTTGCATTTGTAAAGTAACGTACGTGAGAATCTTCGCGAAAAAATCCGGAAGAAAGCGATTTGCCTTGCTGTTTGTATTCCGGTAATAGTTTACTTCAATAATGCTTTCTACAAACGTTTCTAAATTATTCTTTCAACTAAAGAAAGAATGAGAGAAATCGATGTATTGCAAACTTGTTTAAAGTAGAATATTATCACGGGATATTTTCAACATAATTTTGTTCTAAAAGAGATGACGAAACTTGTTCTCTTTCAACTTATCTGAAAATGCAAATGCGGGTATATTGAAGTAGAGAAAGGAAGTAGAGAAAGGATCCGATAATATATCCTCGTTTTTGCTGGGTACAACTGGACTTTGTATTAATACGTTTATAGTCATGGTTGATGTCGATATCGAAAGTAAAAGGTGAATTGCCTTGTGCTAGTTCTTATGCGGCTAAACCAGTTTCACACGGTCAACTGTTTCGATATTCGATTCAGTTTTGTAGCACTTTGCCAGATGGAGAATTTTTATTGTCACGATATTTAAAACGTATTTTATTTATTATACGCCACATATTCATGTAGCCACACTTATATAAAAATATAAAAATAAATGAATCTTAAACTTTTGATTGGTATGCAAAAATCGATTTTACGATAAATGGACTGATTATCATACCACAACGCGAAAATAATTGCATCTCGCGACGCGGGAAACTGATTACGCTAATAAAAACTTCACTGTTACTTTCAGAGATACAAGTCTGAGCACAATGGCGGAAGTACCATCGAGATATCACTTCGCGGCTCACATGGGTCAACTGATTTCCGGTATAGAAGGCCAAGGTTGTCATAATTTTTATCCGACATGTCCGTTGCCGGGTATTAGAGTTCTGAACATAATGAAGAAGATTCGTCTACGCTAAGGAACCATGATCACCGTCACTGTCGAAATCGACGATTTAATTAAACCTGTGATATTGTGGATACTTCGTTTTTGTTCGCACTCAGGAGTATTAACATCATAAGAATACAATTTGCACAATGATAAATCGCGTTTCTGGCGATGCAACATGTAAACGATACTCAAGTTTTCGTGATAATAATGTTAATTACTGAGAGAGAGAAAAAAATGACAATATTCTGTGACATTTCGAAATCTCGGTTAGATTGTAAAATAAAAATTTTAGCTCGTAAATTCACATCGTAGATTGTTAAAATTACAGAAAAGTATCTGAATTAATATTGAGTTCTTTCCATTAATTTTAGAAATTAATTTTAGAATTAATATTCAGTTCTTTCCATTAATTTTAGAAAATTATTCTGTCAATCTCTATAATTATTTGATGTATAATAATTTACTTGTAAATTTAAAAGATGATACATGCATTCGTATGAATGTATTTGTACTCAATGTTACTGTTTATTTATTTGTTAATAAGTAGGTACTTATGTCTTGCTTATACGTGTCGCTACTTTCACTCACTTTTGATACACTGTGCCTTGTAAAATTTATTTTTAAATTTTATATTTTGAGAAACCTGTATAACGCGTACGCATAATCGCTTATTTTATAACTTTCTATTTCTGTATATATTTTAATAACGAAAAAAAAAAAAATAAATTGTAACTTGAAAACATCGAATATTTCGTTTTATGGTTACAAAATGTTCCTATACTCTATGTAATTTTAATGTAATAAATAACTTTAAATTTTATTTTATATTTCATAAATATTATTTTTATATAATACATGTATATAAAAAAAATTCTTTAATTTTATACTTGCACTTCCAAGCTTTATATTTATTTCTATGCCTGCGCCAGAATATTATCATATTTCAATGAGAAACAGCAAAAATGCAGAGAATATTCAGAACGTTCTTTTTTTTATTGCGAAATATTCTCCCAGTCTGCCATAAGTTCATTGTATGCATACGATCCCGAAATCGTGCATTTCCGTAGGAAGTCCCATGGTGACGCTTTGCCAAATTATCAGCATTCCCGATCTCCGCTCTATACCCTATTCTTTCTCCTATTTTAATACAAAAGCGCTGCCATCCCCAGATATAATCCGGAACCCAGCGGGGAAACGCGCGAAAATTATTAGAATAATCGTCGGCGTCTTTATCGACTTAAGCCCGATGCCAACTCGTCCCGAGTGGACATTTCCCAACGAACCGTGCGATCGTAAACGAGATCGTGCCAAGAGTCTCGGTTAGAGCAGTTAGAGCTGGAGCGATACGCGAGGACAAACGGGATGTAATACCAATGAAACCGCGCCACTAACCGTCCCCACTGCCCTCCGAAACAGCCAGCGACACATTCGGAATCCTCGCAAAAATTATCGCACGATATCGTCGTTGGAGTTTATCGACGTTTCTTGCATCGATGCCAAACCACGTGCGATTTCCAGCTGCAATTTCCAGCTCCTTTATCATTATACATAATACAGCCACAAAGAGATGAGGTCAGAAAACTTTATCGATTTTTCTAAAAATAACAGATGACTAGTAAATGAGATTAATTATTAATTCACTCTATTAAGATATCGATAGGCTGTTGTAATCGCTAAAAATTCCTTGAATACTTGATCTGTATTACGTTCTATCACGTAACGCTTGTATTATGCACTGCACACGTAATTGAGTTTATGAAGTTTTGATATTTAAAGATAAGACAATACAGCCAGGAAAAGAAAGCAAAACGTTAATCATTAAGCAATAAGTTGAACAACTTATAATCTATACGTATAATCTGTATGTTGTATTATTAAAATTTTTGACGTTCATATCTTGTAATAAAACGTTCATATCTTGTAATAAAAATGGATTTCGCTTTGTATATGCTGCGTGTTGTAATATCCTTTAAATTATTTGAATAATTTTATATGATTATTATATAATGAGAGAGAAAGAATTTTTTTCGATATACTTTTTTGATATACTTGTTCGAGAACGCCAAAAGTTTTTCAATTATAAAATATCATGAAGTTTCGAAAAATGTTGTCCTACTTCAAATTGACATCTTGTTAAGAATTTTGAAAAATCGTTTGCGAAAAATTAACGTTAGCGATACGAGAAAATGCCCTCTCGAAGTTTAACTTAAATATGTGATATTAATTTGCCAGAAAATATCTACTCTCTAAATCTGAATCAATGGATAGTCACTAATTACCCAGTGACATACTTGGCACTGGATAATCAATAAAGTTCAACTAAAAAAGAAAGAATGTTTGAGCATTATATAACTAAAATACTAATTTAGACTCTCAACATCTTCTGACTTTTTTCACTTATAATTTTTCACTGAAGATTATAAGTTTTACGTTATTCTTTAAAGAATTAATAATTTACATACATCTGAGGATGGTTCAATCTCGTAGCTGAAACATGTTATACGAATTTTTGTAATATGAATTTTTGTAATGGGAAGATTTTATTCTGAATATTTGTAAAGTGTAAAATAATTGTTTCTTTTTTTCTTTAATATATGTAACTTTTTAATTTTAATTAGATATATTTATTTGACTCTCATTACCCTGTCGATACATTAACTTTGCTTCATTACAAGAGTCTTTTACTTTACTATGTAAAATATTGATATTTGCACGTTAATTTCAATCTTCCAATATTATTCATTGAATTTATGCACTAAAACAAGATTAATTAAATTACATAATAAATTTTAGTTAGATTAGGGATCTCACATTTCATTCACTAATTACCAATGGCATACTTGACATTAATATCAGTGATTATCCACTGATTCAGATTTAGAGAATAAGTACATCACAGCTCAATTTAGATATAACACGCAATGCTTGCATCAGCAAATCGACCTTGCTAGGAAGAACCAAGTTACGAAAGTTATGCTTGCAGAATTTGTCCTCAATGATCTGACGCGAGGAAATTCTCGAAATTATGTACCAAATGTTGTAACATGTAACTAGCTTGGATCGAAGGCTTTGGCAACGGGAAGGGGCAATCACTTTCTCTTCGTCGGCATGAGCAACGGCCTCATGTTCTGAGGAACATTCAGCAACAAGTTTTTACTAAAGCAGCAAGTAGCCGCCGGTTCGTAGGCTGTGAGTTTTTGATCGGTGCACCAAAGTCACACGCGGGTACGTTGACATAGTTGAAGTGCGTGTTTCAGATGATACGTGTTTGCATGATTGAACAGGAAAACATATCGATATCGGCGCGGTAGAAGTGCATACGCATCTATTATGAATTGCATAATTATGGTGCTTTGAAATAACAGCGGTCGATCTATTCGCGAAAGTGCGATTGAATGATTTGAACTATGTGAAGTGCGTGATTAAGGTTTCATAAATACGTAGAAAATGTAGAATTTTATTCAAGAAAAAAATGAAGGGTTTGATTAATTGAAATATTTTCATAACGCATAGTGTAATTCATGTACAAAATGCTTTTTCTTACATTATTATTTTAGTTTATAATTTTGCACCCAGACACAAGATTGCTTCGATTTAAAGAAATGTTTCTTTACTTACGGTTAAAAAAAAATTTCTTTGATTTGTGAAAAAATTTCTTTGATTTAAATATTATTTTTAAAAATTTATTTGATTTAAAAAAAATTATATTCAAATCTAAGAAATGACGTTCAAATCATAATTTTTTCACAATCAAAAGAAAATCAAATCAAAGAAATTTTTTCATTTAACCGAAATTTCTTTAAATCGAAGCAACCTTTTCTCTGGGTGTGTAATAATCACAAAAAAAAATAAATTAAAAAAATTAATTAAGAAGATATTTGTAAATTATACATTACATTGTAATGCGCTTTTGATTATAAACGGGAAGATTGTTTCTTTATATGTACACTAATATAAAGTATTTTCTTTCGTGTGAAATAGAGAAAGCTGCACGACGGAAAGAAGAAATACTCACGCACAATAGCGGAAGTTAATCTCAACGTCCGTTTCAGTCGAGTCGGTTTCAACACTTTTTACAATAATTAACGAATGTCTTAGTTCTACTACATAATGCAATTGCCGCGGACATTCTTGCGCTTTGGTTGCTATTTCTTGGTATTGACACTTGTCACAGTGGCCGGTCAAAACGAACCTCTTTTCGAACTTCCGGTGCAGTTGATCGGTTTTCCGGTAATTATAGCAAGTGTAAGAATCGCCAACTTCCTCAAGAAGCTCGCTTATGCTTTAAATCCAGGTAATGCATACAGAAAATATATTTTATAATAATGTAATTCTTATATTCACATATTGCATTATACTATATTCATATATTACATATTATATGACCGTATTTTTTTATTGTAATGATCGTCAAGAGCGCGAATAGATTATTATTGAAGTGGCGAAAGAGGAAATATAAGGATTAGTAAAAAATATTGCCAGTATTAATGGCTCACCGAGCGTGAAAGCAAGAGTATTACATGTCATAGGTTATTTGCCTTTTCCGCGGTTAGCTCACGAGATACGTGACTCAAATCGACGAACAGCGAAAACGAAAGTGTTCCACTTGTTACAACTTCTCTCTCCGATCACGAAGCCATATAATGACTTAGTAATTGACCGAGGTTGCTTACCGTTAAATGAATACGTACGCCAAGAATTAGAACAAAACGAGGCTGCTACGGCAAAATTTGAAATGCTTTATGATTATTAGACGCATTAAAACATCAAATTAAGATCATTGTTTAAAAAAATTATGTTACTTATTATATGCGCAAAAAATAGCAAAAATTTTTAACTTCATAGATGAGCAGTTATTAAATTTCAATAAACTAAATTAAGTCTTTACATTACTTCGTAAATTTAAAACCTTTTAAAAGTATTCTCTTTGAATTCTTAGATACTTATGTCAGTCGAGTGAAACGAGCACATCCTTTGATACACGACGAAGAGATTTTAGACGTCAACCAAGTCGAAAAGAAGCTAGTAGCTGAGCTCGGAAATAACGTTTGCATCTACGAGAAAATTTGTGTCAAGTACGCAGAACGATCTCTTCAAAGAAGAAGTTGGGAACGCGTTCTTAATTGGAACGAAGTATTCAGGTACGATATAAACTGCAATATTGTAACCGCTATTTAATTTATCTGATAATTTTAATAAATATGTAATATACTGAAGATTTATATTCGACTAATATCAAAAAGAAACTATAATACTCGAAAAAAAAGTTGAGGACGTATACGTTCGACTTATTCAGGACGAGGGAGCACACTATCGTTACATATGCTCTTTCATGATTGCATTACGCAATCATGATTCTGAAGTTCACGGTTGAAGGAATCTATGTCTTGAAACCAGGTTTCAAGGATGAACATTTTACCTTAATTAGAAAATACAATCAGGTAGAGATTTTTCTTTTAACAAATTCAAATTTAAAACAACGTAACGAAATACCACCGCGCCACTCTTGTGCAATGCTATAGGGGAGACCGGGGCCGGTTGTCACAGTTTTTTATTAGTGATTTTTAGAAAAAAGTGAATGCTTGATTTTGAAATATTATACACGTTATAATATACCTACATTTTTTAGATGTTAAAAAAATTAATTATTTAATTATAAAGCTACGAAAATGTGACAATTAACCCCATGTTCTGGGTTGATTCTGGGTTCCCCTATAACATTTCGTACGATAGATACTTATGTAATAAATACTTATTCACTTTTGCAAGACTATGGCATTATTAATAACGAATATTATAGAAATAAAGGCAAAAATTATAGTTTTCTATTATAAAAAAATGATTTTTTTTTTAATATGTGCGAAACCAGTCTCTCAATAAATTTAGCTCTCTTTTAAGAAAAATTCCGGAGAAATTATTTAAAGTAAAATTTTAAAATTGTTAATACGTTAATGCAAATTGTTCAATCATTTTATATTTTAGTAAGATATTAAAGCAGATGCATTCTGTAATCAATCTTATCATATTTCATTTGTCAAATTGTCGAAAAAAAAAAGTTTTCTAATTAGAAAAAATTAAATCCCCGTCTGTGAAGACGCATGACACATAACGCTTAATCGATCAATAAGCGGTCGAGACGTGTCGTAATGCGTCGTAAAATCATAGTAGCGACGATAACATCAAGATACGATCTACAAATTCTTAAAAGGAGAGCATCCAGAGCTCTCCGTTAATGGCGACAGAAGGTTTGTCTTCCTTTCTGCCCTCGTTCCTCACGCAATCGTGGGAGATATAATAGAAATCCCTGCTACCGTCTACGCGCTCCGTGCAACATTCTCCGCCTTCACGGAGCTTACACTAAATTCAGCTGTAAGTAACGCCAGGAGCAGATAGCCTTTAATGGTGCTTCCACAGGCGCTCTAATGCATTCTGATAGCTGCTTCTCTCTCTTCATCGTCACCCTTCTTCATCGACTTCTCTTCTGATCATTCTCGTGCCTCGCCTGCATGTCCAAGTAGGCTGTGTTTTATGACTGCCTTGGTATCCGGATCTGTAGGTTTGAGGATCTGTCGGCTTATCTCGGACCTCCTAATGCCTAGCGACTCGAGATAGCGAGCACGTGTCGCCGTGCCTGTCGACGAACGATGCATCTCTCCAAGACGCATTTCGTACCTTGGGTTTCCTCTTCGTCACCTGCGGCAACCTGCGAGCACCTCACGTAGTAGATAGGAATATTCAAGATGCGGGAGACTGAGAGATCGGTGGGAGTAGAGGGAGAGTAGATAAATTGGAGATTGGCAGCAATTACCGTCTAGACGGACTTAACCGACCATGTATGAGGGACAAAGATTGTCCCGGACGCCTTCTCCGACTAGTCTTGGGGAAAGCGATCGGAGATTAAAGGATTGTAAGAAAAGTGGTCATTAGAAATTAGGAATCCATTTAGAAGAGATAGTGATGTTGCGTAGACAAAAATAATGACGACTAAGTGATAAGACATCGGCTGTTTGATAAACGATGTGACGCAGTAACGAACATATATATGTATATAAACTTAGGCGTAGAAATATTATATTTCTTATCGTATTCTTATCGTATTTATATTTTTTCCTCTTTCTATTTTTTCTCCCTTCTCTTGTTTTTATTCGAATCTCTCTTCTAATATACATTTACATAATGCAGTAGCCAGTATAGAGGTAACATTATCAGTAATTTGAGTCATTATGATCTTGCAGGGAGTACAAGTCATCGTCCAACTCGATGAAAGAGAATTACTTGCTGAGCGTCTTTATGGGCGACATTATTGGCAGTCCGAAGCTATGTCACTTATTGGCAAAGAGAGGCAGAGCCTGCGATAGTAGTTTGTTCGATAAGACGCGAAGTACTAGAATCTTTTAGTTAAATCATAAATCTTGATGCCATAAACTTTAAATATTCGCGATTTCAAAATAAACTATAATCTGTTATTTTTTTTTGTATGTCGATGCATGGATTTGTATAATTGTAATCGTTTACGTTGATTGTGTGAAAGATATAGTCCCTCTTTTTATTATTAAATTATTATTTCTAATATTATTAGTTAGTTGATCTTTTAAAATAGATCGTAATTTGTTTTTAACAAGAAGTGCAAATTAAATACATAAAAAACCGTCACGAGAAACATATGATTACGTAATATAGCAAAGGTATAAATATTTTTATATTTTATTTACATAATTATAAATTTTCTCAAACATGTCTTTTGCTTCACTTTGTGTGATTTCGTATTTCTTTCTTTCGCGTTTCTTCAATTCGCTGTATGTCCATGACATAAACAGTTCCCATCAATGTATAGCATCACGTAATACACCATTGCATGCAAGATTCACTGTTATTATGTGAAAATAAATTATTTGACATTTAAAGAACCATACATGAATCCTCTTATTTTCAAAGAGTTATTACGAAAATTGTGCCATTTCGTGTTCTTTGGCAGTATGTCCATTGATGTACACACACGGATTCGGAACGCACATATGGAGTGAGAGTTGCTTATAGTGGCGAGTTACTACCCACGTCTTTCTGGCCAAACGGCTAACCGGAGAATCGATTTCGAAGAAAGTTTCAGTTGGTTCGAAACCTAGAAAGGCGACGATCGTTTGCATTAAGAAAAGAAAGAAATAGTTAAATTATGTTGTTATACATATAAAAAATTGAAATAAATAAAAATTCGTGACATAATTAGACATAAATAAGTTTCTTATTAAAGCGCTTCGTACCATTTGCAAAGAAACGTTAATATTACGGTGATTTTATAATGGAATGTTAGAGTGAAAGTGTTTCAATGTTGGATATATTATATTTAACAGTGCACTAAAAATCCGTGAAGTTACTAAATTTTACATCTTCTACCAAGCAAAAGACATTTGTATTTATTAAAAATAAGGATAGTTTACAGTTACACTTCAAAATGATAAGTAAATTTATCTTCGTTTGGTGCCTCTCGTATTTATATTTCAAAGCTCACGCCGAACATTTCTCACAATATTTCCAAGAATCATCTGACAATACTCAATGCATTTTTGATGTTCCTCGGAAGATTTACAATGTAACAGATTTATTACGGTAAGTATAACACAATATTCTCTATTTGTAGAATATATCGAAAAAAATATTTAAACGAAAATTGTATCAAAACAATTATAAAAAGTCATCTAATTATTATTTATGTTCAATTAATCATACAGATGCATGGATGAACTCGCTATCGGTCTTTTCGCTCAAAATAGAGATCAATCGTTAATTGTAGGACGAGCAAGTCAAACGGATTCGTCAGATTACGAAGAAAATTCTTATGGATTTCCTTATGGAAATATAATCTCAAATTTACTTAATATTGTCCAAGTTCCATCGGTAGGTTTAACTTGTATGTTTTTAATATATTTCGACAATATATAAAATTTATCTCTCTTTATTAATATATTAAAAATATTTCAGTATATTAATATTTTTTTAAAATACTTTACAGGAATATAACAATTATGTCCCATTAGATTCTAATATTGGAAATTATCAATTAAATACGCTGATCAATCCTCTCAATCAATTTGGTAGTCTTGGAGCAAATATCTTTAATGCTATGTCATCAATCTCTCGCTACGATGATCTGAAATGCGTGCCGAGAATACTCTGTGAAGTGGCGAGTGGAAACTCACCGGGAGAATATAAGCAAGCATTAACGGAGAACAATGAGCAATATTTAGGAGAATCTGGAAGAAATATTTTTACGCAGTTCGTATTTTTTTATAAAACACAAAATTAAAAAATTTATAATAACATATGATGTCATTCCATTAATTGATTATAGTAAATGATTACGTGGTTTTTTATATTACCAGGTGGCTCACTGGACTGGCACAAGCATCTCCTATACTAAGTTTTGCTCGAGCCACCGTTTTGGGTTACAACAGCAACGGCAATCCAGCCATGTGTTACCGCGCATTTCCGAGATGTCCGCGTAATCCCGACAAACTGTTGCATTATCTGAACAATCATAATGGTGGATTCTTTCAGTTCTTCAACAGAGGCGGACACGAGAGATATTCTCAATCATCTTACGCTTTGCAAGATACAGGTTGTACCGTAGATTTGTCGCAAGTGACATTTATAATTCATGCTTTTGTACGAGTTATATCACATTCATTTCTTAACAGATAATTCGGAACTTCGCGAAGAAAGAAGATGGAACGCTCCGCCGCCGAATATCGCCAGAGCGGAAGCTGATCGTACTGGAACGGGCAAGCTAAAGTTCGACTTCCCCGTTTTGACAAACCAAAATCGCGGAAAAAGCTTCTTTCCGAGGGAAAATACATTGGAAAACTCGGGACGAGTGGTTTTCCCAGATTATGAAGGATCGAGCGGTCGCCCATTGAAAAATAGAATTTCTAAATCCCTGTCAGACTTACGAGACTTTGATGTAAATACATTTTCACGAGACTCTCCACTAGTTTTCCCTCAGGTAATAAAATTATGTCTCTTTATTATGTTTACAATTAGAAAAAATAACGAAAGTAGAACAATAAAAGACAAAAATATAATGAAAATAAATAGCAAGCGATATAAGCATATAATTTTTATATGCTTAATAAAATGACAAAATATTTTCTAGGAATCGAAGGCTCAAGTTGTTCACGTTTTACGTTTTATTCCTGAATCTCCGGACTCGATATCTCATAATACATTTCGGTTTCCACATTAATATTCTTCAATTTTTTCGTTACAAATAAATTTTCAGATATTTAGGACTATTAATTGTTATACATTTTTGTTTATAAATTAATCGAGATGTTACATATATGATTCGAAAAAAGATTAATTAAGTTAATTTTATTGCTACTGTTGTATATCGACTGATATCCGTAAACACTAACAAATATGTATTTCATAAAATTTATATTTTACATTCTACCTCCAAATGGCTCGTAATGGGATATATAGACGAGATATATATATAGACGAGAAAGTGAACAAGTCATTCAACTCTTTTTTTATGTTGTATTCATCTATTCAATATTATATAGTTATTCAATCCTTTCATCCATTATATCAAACTATCGATGTGCATAGTCAGCAAGAGACCAGAAATTGTAGATTCAGCTGGAAATGCAATTTTGATTTGGATAGGCAAACACTATTCTACCATTCTATGCGGCAAAGCATATTTTATTCTCACAAACTCAAAGGATCCTTTGGTTTATTCCGCTTCACCTTTTCTCATAATGAATGATTTTACATCTTTTTAAAAGTACGATTTTTGAAAATATAATAGCTATAATTTGAAAATTAATAGCTCAATTAAATATAAAATATATTAAAGTTTTATATATATGAAAATAAATTCTGTTAAAATAAATTTTCAAAAATTATTAGTGATTGATTTTATGTAGTCTGAAATTAAAAGGAAAACACACGCATCTTGCGGCATTTATACGAAATTTCTATTGCAATAATTATGAGTAGAAAACACAATACAGATGATTTCCGGAATTATGAATTATTCTTGGCATTCACTCATGAAATGCCGTTTCAGACAATATATTTACCGGAAGATTCTCCGCTTAGGTCTAAGCTGACATGCGATCCCCCTTGAGCGTAATAATTTTCGATTACGATCATGAATTTTGCAAAAGCAAGGCGATAACGTCTATGAGCAACTGTGTGTATAGCTTCCCGCTACAGCTCAGTAATTTTAGCCACGTGAGGTCGAAACTTGCTCGACAGGTGATCGTACGCGGTCTTCCTGAAACTCTTCCCATTCATTTGAGGTTTTGCTGTCTGACTCGTGTTTTCTTTTCTCGCGTTTCATGTGATGATAGCAACACCTTGCGTTTCTCATATATGCTTGCGTGCGTGAACAAATACAGGAATTACTCGACCTGCAGTCTTGAAATATACATAAGTCAGAAATGTATATATTTTTCGTTAAATCTGCATTACAGTTCTTTCGACGATGATTATACGAATATTCAGACTGATGATAACATACATGCGGCAAATAATGATTTAATTTCTCGAGGTTTAAGTAATCAAGAAATTTAAATAAAATATTTGGAGACTTCATATGTGTTTTGTTTTTAATTTTTAAAAATGTAAAAAGTTACACGTGTGAAAAAAAATTCCTTGTAAAAGAAAAAATTACTTTCAAAGAATCCGTTTGTAAAAAAAAAAATTGTTATTAAAGTTCCTAAAGAGAATACCAAGTTGCAATGTTTTTTTTCCGTTTTCGGTGTGAAACGTTTGTCACGCGGGCTCGCAGCTGCAAAATTCACGTATGATTTTCTCCAAATAGCGGGTCACCGCTCGGTGACGCTGTAGAAATAGAACAACGCGTAACGTCGAAAAAGCGGCAGACAACATGTAATTATTTTATCCTTTCTGGCGTGTAATTTGGGGCGTGCACTACGCTCGTGAACTCGCTGACTCGATGCAGGAGGGAGACGTAGAAATGGTGTGGCCGGAGTCCACGGCAATGCCGTAGCCCAGAGGGGCGTGTGCCTCGGACAGGACCAAGTGGGGTGCAACTGACAGCGGAAGACAATTAGCCTTCTGATACATCCAATGTCGCGTGATATGTTCCGTGGCATGTAGGAACTTTACAAAGATTCGTTTCACGCATCGCAACGCGTGGGAGAAATACAGGAGGTAACGGAGACCGTTGATTCATAATCTGTTGTACAAAGTATAATACACAAAGTTATGCAATTAATAACTGATTCAAGTATATTATATTTTATATCTGATTTTAATATTTAAGAAAAATTTTTTGGTGAAGACTTTAATGTATCAGAATTTTCGAGTGACACCACAAACAATTACAATTTTGAATGGGAAAAGATTGAGAACTGCTAAATAACGCCAATGGGGCATAGTAGCATGTTGTAACAGGTTTAGCGTCGG